TACCGGCCAATTTGCAGCTTGCCTCACTCCCCTCTCTCACTTTGTCCCCACATCCCGCTAAATGCTTACAGATTTATTTATCTTTTTTGGCTCTGTGTCGATCATCTCATTAAGCTGGTGCACAATACACAATTTTCTGCGTGTCCGGCAGTGCTCGAGCATGATAATTGTTCCTGCTGGATAGATTATTTTCGTTCAAACGAGGCCCTTTTGTTTCCGCAAGACCGGACCTCAGTAATCCCTCTATATAGCGCTCTGCTCGGGATAAGTCACACGAGCCAATCACTGCGGAAACAACGATGCCTTCACAGAGACATCAAGCAGCCAAGATACTGAAGCTGAAAACCCACAGAAATCAATTAATGTCTCCCATTGGACCTCCACAGGAGAAATTGAAGTTCAGGAAACTGGGATTTATGTCCTACATACATTGCCTTTCTGTGCATGTGTGTATGTTTTTGCATGCACGTGTCTGCCTTTCAATGTCGAGATTCAAAACCTTCAGAACCCTTCTTTCCATTTGTCTAATGGGGAATAAGGCCATGGTCTCTTTTTTATCTGAACCACATTTACCGTTTATTATGCACATTTTGAACAGTATAGTCAAGAAACCTCTCATCACGAAATAATACAAGGAAACTCCACTATGAGAGCCCAGTCATCACATGTCACTGGGATATGAAGTATGTATAATTTCAAGAGACAAGCTGACAGAACGTACAACTACTGCATATGGGATTAAAACCACACAGGAGGAGGAATAAGCACTCAGCAGTTAGAGACCACGGGGATGAATGAGGAGCAGCTCAAAGGCTCGGAGTCTGTTTGGAGTGACTGGCATCATTTTTAGCCCCTACAACGGAACCGTGTGGCACCGGTTATTCGTAAATCCATTAGTAGCTTTGTGAGTCCTGTGCTTCCTTCATCCTATTTGTAGAGACCAAAAACAGAGCTAACAGGAGAGTGAAATATTGGATTTACAGAGGTGGTCAGAAACATGAATCATAATGAATGGTAATGTCGCTCTGTAACTGCTGGATGTGTAAATAATCAACCGTTTGCTAACCAGTTTACCACATCATCTTAAAAGTTGCTTCAATTGCCCCCAAGTGGCCGAAACATCAGTTATAGCAGGTTTAAGAACAGCGGGTGTAAGCGGATCCAGGTCACGGGGACTGAATAAAAAACTGACTTGACAGATTATTAGATGACAACAAGTTCTATGTAGAACTTCAGATTCCAGCTCACATGTTTGCCAATAAGAAAATTCTATATAATAACACATTATAATCACAAACATCTCAGGTGTCTTAAAAGGAACATGAAGTTAAACCAACTTGTCTTCAACACAAAATGAGTTCAAACATATTCAACATTATAGGCATGGCATTTATTGTACTATTGCATTTCACGGGATATTTATTTCATTTTACGGCTATCGCACCGTGAAAGACGACCTATCATTTACGTTCTCATCACACATGGTCTTATGTGTCAAACTGTGAGTCAGGCCCTGTTTGCACACATATGCTCACATTTATGTTCACCTAGAAATAGACAGTGAATGTTGTCATTCATTGCACACTAATCCTTTTGTGGCGGTAACTTAAATCCCACTATACATAAAACAGCTGACAAATCTTCAACTCATGTATGAATCAAATCGTTTCATGTGGGTTTGCACACGGTCTGTGCATGAAAATAAAACAAGTGCACAGAAACCAGCATGCACACAAACAGGGATACAAAAAGCTTAAAGAAAGCCCTGATATGGATCTCCCTCTGTAAATGAATGCCCACACAATGTGTCTCTCGTCGTTTGAGATTATATTTTGATTAATTCTTCTTGGGTAAAAGGGATTTTTCCGAGCACCAAAAAGATGGACATTGTTGATAAAGTGCCTGAATTCATTCTGCAGGGCTTGAATAGTGTGACCTTCATATGTCTAGTACATTTTTAAATGGTCCCCTGAATAGAATATTGCCCACAATAATGGACCCCTTTGCTAACTACATTGTCATTAGTATTGTGTCGCCTTATTGCTTTCGCTGTCCTACTGTGAGTCGCTGGGGCTGGATCGTAATATTTCTACGTCAATGGACATTACAATGGATGTTGACTCCTGCTGAGATGTGTGTGTGTGTGTGTGTGTGTGGTGTGTTTATAGGCATACACTTGTGTGTTTCCGATTTCTGTATTTGCACGTGTGTCCCATGTTCCCTTGCCAATGCCGACCGGCCTCTGGCCCTGAAGTCAACTTGATCGAGTTTATGGACCAAGAAGCACCTGCAGCCCACCGCGTCAGGTAGCCTTGTGATAGAAGTCAATCACCGTTCCGACACCTGCAGGAAAAACACCGAGTCCCCTGGGTGCAGTGATTACTTTGCAGGGACATTACATGTAATGACCTCTGTGGCTGAACGTCTGCCAAAGCTTGTTCATCACGCAGACGGAGCTCCATAGACGGCCTAAACGCCGCCGTGTGAAGCTCTTGTAACTTACATGACGTGTCATATAACTGTCATTCTACACCCAGTTACATGAGTCAACACCCATTGCCATGCCCCGATTTCTTGGAAGTGGAATAACCGTAAATCATTGTTATTTAGCTATAAACTTGCTTTTAAATCTGTACTTTAGTGATATTGATGTAACGACAATTACCATCGTATAATAGACAAGTGAATGAGCCTCAGCGAATTCTCTCTTCGGTGTCCTTTTGTCTCGCACTGAAAGAGCTCATTGACGAAGACAACAGTTTTGAGTGATTCTTGCACAGCTCTTGTGCTCCACGATGAGAAACATTTGGTTCTGTGTGTAAATTGATGAGTCCGATATCGGTCTTGGTAAGACTTCCTTGAAACGCCATTTCTTTTTGTCTGAATGATGAGACTCCTTCATTCGGGTAAAAATGCAAATGTGTTATATATCATGAGTCTGTGACAGACAGTAGCATCCGGTTTCTATTTCCCTCGTCAAAGCACTCTTGATATCTCTGGTGGAGGGGTCACGAGATATGAGGATGAGCATGGGATGTCACTGGCTGACACTGTTGACAGATAGCTCTGTTCGGCTGTGATGTCTCACGTATGCCACACACTGTGTGTGTATCTTATTAAAGCCACATCTGAGTTTTTGTAGCTGCAGAATTCTCATGTCTTCTGTTCTAAATGCACACATTTACTCATAATAACAGGACATTTTACACAATCACTAGAGAATAACTGGAGATGCGCGAGGGTGGAATGTGATGCCATAAATTTGACGATATCACTAAGGCTTTAATTCCCCTCCCATCTATCATGTCCCCCTGTTCCCTGTGACTTCAGACCCATATGGAAACCTTTTTATAATGCTGATTGATCTATTAATGATCAGCGGGTCCCTTCACCTCCTTAGTCTCTGCTTCCTTTCAGCGTTTCACCAATTTGTCTCTCAGCACACAAAGCTATAGGCTGGCCTACATACTGCGGGGACGTTGGGGGTTGTTTTCAGAAAATCGTTTGGGTTTGTCGGTGTGCTAAAATCATCACGCTTCCCTATTTCGGGGCTGCCGTACCCGTAGCATGCTTAGCGTGTCAATATGCACCACATGTAACTCTGCTTTCAAAGTAGCCCAATAGCAGTTATTGCTTAAACACAAAGAGGTGAGTCACATGGGAGGTTGTTTTTCTCTATTTCTTGACCGCTGTTCGCTGACATTATGAGCGAGGCTTCTCGCCGTGGGAAGCACTTATTAGCCCTCTTATTGGTTTTCAGGGTCTAAGACTGCGGGCTTCCCCTCAGACAAAGTTTGGAAAAAAGGTGCCTCACAACCTCCTTACTTTTGCTTAATTCCTGGATGCCTACAGGAACATGATTATGTTGTTTGATCCCATAGACACTCAACAATTGAGCCAGGATAGCCTAATATTGCTGTTTGACATAACTTCAGACTACACCAGAAGAAGGTCTCTTCCAAAGCATTTATTAGTTTCCAACTCACAGTGATTGGGAGAAACCGTAGCACTCCCTTAAACTCTTTGACCAAATCACACATATTTTGGCTTCCTCTTGAACTCTGACAGTATTATAATGTGACTTGATTAGCAAAACCACACAAACTAGTACAAATAACTCTGTTGAGGGCCACTGTTGAGAACAATGCGATGTGAAATGGTAGATAAAAACAATCTGACAGAAACAGCATGAGGCACATGTTTTTGATGTAATGCCTCACCTATCTACATACAGCCTGAGATGTTATTTTTGCTCCTACCAACACTATGTTTGGTGCGTCTATCTGAGAATCAGTTGAGGCACAACACTTTACAGTCTGTTTCTATGGGAACAACCCCCCTTTGTTTTTTTAAAAGAGGGGTTAAAGTGCTGCATACTTTTATAGAATGAATACATTTGTAGAGAAAATGGGTCGATGAAAAGGAAGACGGTGTTGCTGAGTGTTCAGTCTGTTTTAATTTGAATTCTAAAATTGTAAATAACAGCCAAATGACATCTTGGCCTTCCCTTCATAGTGTTAAGAGTAAAGAAGAGAAGCTATTGAACACATCCTTTTTTTTTATCTAACCTGAATCACACAAGCGTAAGCTTGATCCTCCCATCACCAAACACAATTGTGGAGTTAAATACCAAAGAGACTTAAACAAGTCTGTCTTTGCTGTTTTTTGATTACATGTATGTATTTAAGTAGTGACATTGAAGAAGAATGCATGAGATAGATAATAAACATGATATCTCTGTATTGATAAAGGACTCTTCATATTTGATTAAAAACCTGCTTTCTAGTAGAATTATTGATTTTTGTTTGTCCCAGCATGCATCTGCTCCAGCCTTATGTTGTTTATTTAGGAATAATGAGGATTAGGGCGTTAGAGGAAATCGTATTTATATAGTTAATCCGTCCCCCTGCCGGTGCCTGTCAGGTGTATCTGCACAGAAAGCGTGTGTTCATGTGTTCATGTGCATTGACTTGACCTGTCCGTTGCTCTGTGTGTTGTAGGTTGCCCGTATCGGTGGCCAAGAGGATGGAGGCCATGAGGGCTGTGCACCAGGCTTCCAGGTTAAACACTACCAGGTGGCGTTCAGTGGAGCTTTCCAGAAAGGCCAGGCGCTCATACAAG